TGGTAGGAACTTTGGGCACATAACCCGGGCGGGGTCTCAGGATAACATGAGAAAATCCCGGCTCGAATTCCAGGCACGAGTCACTGACCGAAAATGCCTCCAGGTCCCCGACCCTCTTAATGGAGGCCAACGCGACCAGCAGAGCTGTCTTCAGGGACAGAAATCTTAAAGATACTGTATCGAGTGGCTCATAGGGATCAAATCGCAGGCTCGTGAGAACGAGGGCGAGATCCCAAGAGGGCGTGAGAGGGAGGCGAGTTGGATTAATTCGCCTAGCGCCTCTGAGGAGCCGGATGATGAGGTTATGCTTTCCCATGGTGCCGCCAGCCACCGCGTCATGGTGAGCGGAGATGGCAGCAACGTAAACCTTGAGAGTGGAGGGCGACAGCCTACTGTCCAGCTTCTCTTGAAGGAAAGAGAGCACAACACTGATCTGGCAAGATCGGGGGTCTTCTCTGCGAGAGACACACCACTCAGTGAATAGACTCCACTTCAGGGCGTAGGCGCGCCTCGTAGAGGGGGCTCTAGCCTGAGTGATGGTATCAACCACCGCGGGCGGCAGGTTACCTAAGTCTTCCTCGCGTCTATGGACCACACATGGAGGTTCCAGAGATCGGGACGAGGGTGCCAGACAGTGCCTTGTCCCTGAGAAAGTAGGTCCTCTCTCAAAGGGATCTGCCAAGGGAGGGCCGTCGCGAGGAGGGAGAGCTCTGATATTCAGGTCCGGTTGGGCCAGAGGGGCGCAACTAACAGAACCTGCTCCTCGTCCTCCCTGACCTTGCACATTAACTGCGCGATCGGGCTCACTGGGGGAAACGCATACTTGCGTATGCCCCGAGGCCAGCTGTGGGCCAGTGCATCCGTGCCGAGAGAGCCCTCGGTCAGGGAATAAAACAACTGGCAATGAGCGTTCTCGGGGGAAGCAAACAGATCGATCTGGGCCTCCTTGAATCGCGCCCATATCAGCTGGACAGACTCGGGGTGGAGTCTCCATTCCCCAGAGTGAATCTGCTGCCGTGAGAGCACATCGGCTGCACGGTTGAGCATACCTGGGATGTGAATGGCGCGCAGCGACTTCAGCCGCGGGTGACTCCAGAGGAGCAGACGGCGGGCGAGCTGAGACATGCGGCGAGAGCACATACCCCCCATGCGGTTGATATACGCCGCCGAGAGCAAGAAACACTGCCAACAGCTCTAGGCGATTGATGTGCCAATGCAGCTGAGCACCTACCCACAGGCCCGCAGCTGCATGCCCACGACACACGGCTCCCCAGCCTGTGCTGGAAGCATCTGTCGAAACAACAACATGACTGGACGCCTGTCCCAGAGGCACACCGGCCTGCAGGAACGAGGGGTCGTTCCAGGGGCTGAGGGTGCGGCGACACAGCGCAGTAACAGAGACTCGGTGTGTGCCCTCATGCCATGCGCATCTCGGAACTCGATCTTGAAGCCAGTGCTGAAGTGGTCTCATATGGAGCAATCCGAGCAGCGTGACAGCTGCAGCGGAAGCCATATGCCCCAGGAGCCTCTGAAAATATTTCAGTGGGACCACTAACTTGCTGTCGAGGTCCCTCAGACAGTTCAGCAGCAGGCGAGCGCGCTCTCCGGAGAGGCGCGCTACCATGGTGACCGAGTCCAGCTCCATCCCGAGAAAAGAGATCCTCTGCACCGGGGCGGGTTTGCTCTTTTCCCAGTTGACCTGCAACCCCAGTAGGCGGAGATGCCGGAGCACCTCGTCTCTGTGTGCAGTCAATTGCTCCCGAGAGTGGGCTAAAATCAGCCAGTCGTCGAGATAATTGAGTACGCGGATGCCCGCAAGCCGCAGAGGCGCTAGGGCACCCTCCGCGAGTTTGGTGAAGACCCGCGGAGACAGAGAGAGCCCGAAGGGGAGGACCTTGTACTGCCATGCTCGACCTTCGAACGCAAACCGCAGAAACTGACGGTGGCGTGGAAGAATGGAGACATGAAAATACGCGTCCTTCAGGTCTATGGCTGCAAACCAATCCTGAGGACGAACTCATCGGAGGATGCGCCTCTGCGTAAGCATTCTGAACGACAGCTTGTGAAGGCAGCGATTCAAAACGCGCAGATCTAGGATTGGCCGTGACCCACCGCTCTTTTTGGGTACGATGAAGTACGGGCTGTAAAACCTGCTCTCCATCTCGGCTGGAGGTACCGGCTCGATTGCACTCTTCGCCAGGAGGGCAGCAATCTCCTCTCGCAAGACAGGGGCGGACAGGGGATTGACCCTGGTGAAATACACGCCCGTGAACCTGGGAGGCCGTTTGGAGAACTGTAATTCGTAGCCGAGTCTGATCGTCCGTATGAGCCACCGCGAGGGGCTGGCCCGCGCTAACCAGGCACGCAGAGCCCTCGCTAATGACGTCATCGCAGCATTCGTTGACGTACCCGCGGAGGGGCAGCGAGGAGCGGGTGTGCTGATCCGGGGAGCGCGAGGGTCCCACAGAAGAGCTGGAGGAGAGCGTTTCGCTCTGGCTCCGCACCCTGACTCTTGAGAGGGGGCTTGGGGGCTGGGAGAAGGGAGACCGTCCCCCCAGCGCCCGAGAGCCGCTGGCGGAGCATGCAAGCCCTGCGAGCTGACAGGCAGCGCGCCCCAGACTGGCGGGGCTTGAGCTGTCACATCCGGGGAAGGGAGAAAATGCTCTTTGATCGAAACTTTGGTGGCACTGAAAAGTACCGTTGGAATTTGGGCCCCGTCCTCCAGCGGGGAAAGAGCAAGTCTCCTCTTCTCCGGATGGCCTGTCTCAGGGACGCTTCGCGGTCCGTTTACCGGACTTAGAGGCGCCCTGGGCAGGAGGGGCTACCGGCTTTCGGCGTGCTCGGCGTGCCTCGGCGAGGAGCAGCGGAGGTGGATGGCTCGGCCGGGGATGGAGCGGGCTTACGGCCCCGCCGATAGATGACTTTGCCCATCGCATCCGACTGCTCCTTCACCGCCTTGAACTCCTGGGTGAATTCACCGACGGTGTCGCCGAACAGGCCAGCCTGGGATATGGGCGCGTCAAGAAAGCGAACTTTGTCAACATCGCGCATATCTGCCAGGTTTAGCCAGAGGTGGCGTTCCTGGACCACAAGTGTGGACATCGTCCTCCCCAGTGCGCAGGCGGCGGACTTAATGGTCCGGAGAGCATAGTCGGTCGCCGTACGCAGCTCGTGTAACAAGCCTGGGTTAGACCCACCCTCGTGCAGCTCGGCCAGCGCCTGCGCTTGGTAGCGCTGGTAGGTGGCCATCGCATGCAAGGCGGAAGCTGCCTGGCCCGCAGCCTTGTAAGCTCTAGCTCCGAGGGAGGCAGAAAACTTACAGGCTTTGGACGGGAGACGGGGCGGACCACGCAAAGCGGGGGCGCCACGCGGACAAAGATTGACCGCAATGGCGCGCTCCACCTGCGGAATCGCCTCATACCCCTGGCAGCTCCACCATCCAGGGTGGTGAGGGCGGAGGCGGAGGCGGACGCAGCGCGGGCAGAGAAAGGTGCCCTCCAGGACTGCGTGAGCCTACTGTGCACTTCCGGGAAGAAGGGGACGAGAGGCTTCGAAGGCTTCGCCTTCTGATCCTCTACGTAACACCCATCTAGTCGGTCCGGCCGCTGGGCTGGGGGATGAACCATCTCCAACCCGACGGCCGAAGCAGCCCGAGAAAGCACGGCCAACGTGTCCGCTTCAGGATCCGTTTTGACGGCCCTCGCTTGCCCAGATGGGGCGAGCGGGTCCGGATCATCGTCAGACAATGAAAGCCCACCCTCCGATGCCGCGGAGGACATCTGATCTCCGGTGTCAGCGAGCGTGAGAGCTACCATCTGATTAGACGGATCACTCCCAGTACCCGAAGCTTGGATGGAGCGCTTGGAGGAGCGAGAGGTCCGCGAGCCCTTGGGCGGCGGATTGTCTCTCGCTGAAGCCCTCAGATCTGCCCGAGCGCCCGCTGCAGAGCAGGAGGCAACTGGGGTGGCTCGCTCTCTTACGAAAGCTAACCGCGATCTCAACTGCGCAACGGTCATGGGATCGCAGTGACGACATGAACCGCCCCCGAGCACCACATTAACATGCTGGACCCCCAAACATGTAATGCAGTGATCGTGTCCATCATCCGGAGCCAGGAAACCCCCGCAACCAGAAACGCACAGTCGGAGCGCCATCCTGAAAAGGACGTGCTGCACGACTGTGTTGCTTTTTTAGGAGTTTGCAACAATACGCACCACTCTTGGAGGACCGGACCCAAAGGGACGCCAGGCAAGGGAGATACCCAGCTCGACTGTCTGCCGCTGCGTGGACTCGCTCTGGACCGGGATGCAATCGTTCTCTCGAAATGACTGTAAATCAGCAGGAGGAACCCTCATAAGCTCGATCAGAAAAGGCTCTGAAGCGAAAAGGATAGCGTCTGCTGGCGCCAGGCGTGCTTATATACTCAGTTGATTGCATATGCCGCACACCTGCGCAGGCTTGCGCTGCCAATTCATTCTTAATTGGCCCGTTCAATAGTTTTTCAGACGAGTAGCTTCTGAACCGAATCTCCCATACGTGGATTTAGAACATCAAATCCACTTATAGTGCTGGAGTTCCCCCCGAAGGGGAACTAATAATCCTATGTTAACCTAACTAAATGTTTTTTGTTTTACTGACAAATAATTTTAGGTTAGTGCGGCTGATGTTTTCAAAAGTTTTTTGTACTGGCTTTCATTGTTTTACTGTTCATTACTCGGACAAAAACAAATATAAAATTAGCTGATTTTCTATGTCTAGAATAGTCCATGATATCCCCAAAAATTCCATGACCATGAAATCACTGTTATTGAATCATTAATTAATCTTTCCAAATAATATCTTCATTCAGAGTGCAGTTTTGATAGTATAATTTGTATAAAAAAGTGCATTAAATTAGAAAAATGCACAGCAGAAGCCGTTTCACTAATAGTCTGAGGGCCAGTTATTAATTCTGACAGTCATGGTTTTTAAAGCGGTCTGTCATGATTAAACACCCATACCGCCGATGGTCAGCTTCAGTCTGTCTCTTCCTGTCCTCCTCCTGTTGCTTTTGCTTCTCCTCCAAGATTGCTGCCTGGAAAAAGAAAGTTAATGAAAATCTCATCTCCAACTGAAATGTCTCCTCTACTTATGTAAAAACCATTCAATATCTGCGGCTGCAACAATTTAATTGAACATTTGCATGAATAAACAACAATATCAACATGAGAGTTCAGGCTAGCCTTTCGTTCTTGATGCATATCAGTGAGTTCAATTTATGTTTGACCGGCATGGAGGCATTCAAAGCCACAGAAATACCATTATACAGCCAGCTGGAAAACACCTACAGTACTCCATCCATGACTACCTCCTATAACCTAGAACATAGTAATCAATAGCACATGCTAGGCAGAGTTAGTTCTTTGTCTTGGCTAAGCCCAAATTCTTAGCTGCGCAACCAAAAGTGGAGGTGATGTTGGTAAGTTCTGTTTCGCTTCCTTTGTTCTGTACCTTTCTTCTTTGCTCCTCTTGCATTTTAAGCAGGCTTGCATTCTCCTCTGCTCTTCTGGATTCCCTGTACTCATGACATTTAGTCTGTGAAGAAACAGAACACACACACACACATACAATGAAAACTGCATTTGACTGATGTACTGTATGTACTGTATAATTGACTATGTTGGGTTTCCTGAACGCCCTGAATAATTAGGCTGGATTTTGGTTTAGCACACTATACAGATTCACACACATTTGTCAGACAGAATTTCTGCATTCAAAAACACAGCAGAAGTCAAGCACTGGAAGTCTCTGGTAGCCCTTAGAACCATAGCAAAAATTTGTGACATCTGGCATATAATTCGTGGACAGTCTGAACATTAACCACAGCAAATTTGGAGTCTCTAACTAACTTACTGCCACCAGTTATGCAGATTTGTACTCACTTTTGTTCTAATGACTTCTCTCAGCTTTATTGGCAAGAAAGACATTTGTTGGCTCAATACAACACATATTTCATTTGATGTTAAATTTCCTCCTAGTGTGTTTGTGTGATGTTGACAAAATCTGACCAAAGATCAACTTAAAAAAACATCCAGCCAACAGTTCTCAAATAAAATAAGAACTGATTTGCCAAAATTGTGAATGCTGCAGTGTGTTATGATCAAACTTGTCCCAAATCACCTAACTATATATTGTGTATTTAGCTTTAAGCTAATTTATTTTAATACACACTAGGGATGCCACAAAATCAAAACACAAAGGGCTATATACACTGCTAGTTTTTTTTCAGCCAGCGATAAACTTCTGGTGAAAGGTTAATGTGGCTGTATTCACTTTCATAAGGTTCCTTTCACAGCATCAATTTTGTAATGTATTTAAATACAGTTAAATAGATCTAACCATTCATTTACTTGTTTAAACATAAAATGAGATGAAAGATCATGAAACTCTATTGAAAATACTGGGATAAACTACATTTCCATATTTTAAAAATACGGCGAGGAAAACTAGAATTTAATTAAGGGCTTCTTGTCCAGTCTGAGACCCACTTTATATCGTACATCTATTATGCAGTGAAGATCATAGTTTTTAAAGGGCAACTATGGTGAAAAATGTACTTCTCAAGCTTTTGGACAGACATATGTGTAGCTAAAGTGTATAGACCGTCATATTGGGGAGATATAAACACACCCAGTCCTTTTTTTTCAATTTAACAAAATAAAAACGGTGCCCCCGCTCAACGAATTGTTTGACAACTGCGTATTTACATGTCCTGGTAGTCACGTGTATAATTATATCAACAAGACCAGACGTGCGCAAATCAACCAGGAATAAAAGGTCTGATCAGTTTGCTAGGATAATTAAACATCATCAAATGTGATCAAGAGTAAGATTCACATGTTTAAAAACTTTTAAAACAGTGCATGTGTGTGATGAAGTACAGCGATTTACTTCATCTTTACTTCATCAGCACAGCCACGTGTCAGAACAATTATAAAGTAAGATGCTTCAATCCCTGTTTGTGGACGTTAAATTAGGTATATTTGTACATTAACATATCCAAACAGCAGATTAACCTGTCTCCTGTCACATTTGTGTGCAAAAAGAGCGCAAAGCAAAATGCGTGCTCTGTCTGTCTGTGTGTGTGTGTGTGTCTGCGCTGTGTATCTGTGTGCCTGCGCATGAACTTTGTAACGACAAGTCAACGATGTAACTCCTGCTTCCTCTATGTCTGCCTGCTATCTGACGCAGCCGAAGGAGGACATTAAGGCACGCAGAAAGGTACGTATAAATGGTAGGCGGGGAGGACTAGCCTTAAAGGCCCAGTACGACAAAACCGCTCCCTGGTGTAAAAATGTATAAAATAGAATCTTGTAAAAGGTATAATGAAAAATATGTGTTTTGAGCTGAAACTTTACATACACCTTCTGGAGACGCAAAACACTTATATTAAATCTGAAAAAAAGGGGTAACCTAGGTAACTTTAAAGAAGTAAATCTTAAAGGCGGCTTGGTAAGACCCCCATGACTTCAACTAGACATATAGTTATTAATCTCAATGGAGTCAAATTCATTGAGGTTATTAACCACATAAATTTGAGGCAGCTACTAGCAAATACAATTTCAGAACTGCACTTTCTGATTTATTAAGTTGTAAAATTCTGTCAAATAAAAAGTCTGTGAATTTGAATGTGCACATACACTTATGTAAGAGAAAAAAACAAAGTATACTTTGAGCTATAGCCAGAATAAGCTGCAAAGAAAACCAGATTTTATGCTGCAAATCAAATGTCTGACTAGTCTGTAGGTGGTGCTTTAAAGGAGCAACTTCTCCTAGAGAGTTTTACTGTTCAACAGCTAAACGCAGCAGGAAGATTAAATCAATCCCTGTGACCCATCCCTTGACAAAACCAAACCGGACCCCAGCCCCTGAGAAGTCCAGTGTGAAACTGGGCTTTGAAATGCATGTTAGCCGTGATGTTCTTCTGAAGTTCTCATAGCCCTGTTCAGAAACACACTGCAAGGAGGGGCGAGTAGAGCGCTTGGAAGCTGAAGAGATCCTTTGTGTGTTTGGTCAGACGGCCTGGGGACAGCAGGCAGGGGCTGCTCTGTTTGGAATGGCCAGAGAGTAAGGGGAATAGGTGGGACGACCTGGGCCTGGCATCCTGGGAAGCCAATACAAAGGATCCTTTGCACAAACAGAGGATATGGAGGAGATTAATCTGTCTTGTGGAAGCATCACTGAAAGCATAACAATACTCGGTGGCCACAAAACCACATCAAGAACCCGTCTTTCCACAAACACTTTGATCGGCGGGCCTACGACATTTAGGTTGGAGCGTTTCATTACTTTGCCTGGAAGTCGTCCAGCCACTTAAGTCAATACAGCAAGAGAAAAGCACAATTGAATGGCCTGGTGAGTCGAGAGAGACAGAGCTGTGCTCAGAACACTGTTGCATGTTGTGTACCACGACCATGCAGCCCTAATGCACGATCTGTCTATAAGAGGGATTTTCCCCATTAGTCATCCAAAGGGAAGTCCTCGAAAATCTCAAACAAGGAACAATCGCCAAGCAGTTTTGAAAGCCGCACAACAAAACATCATTTGCTTGACACGAGACGATGCCATTTTTTAACTGTGCTGTCAGATGCCACTTTTAGTGGTTTGTGCAACATAAGAGGCAGCCCTCAAACCTCTCTCGGTCAGCCCAGCCCTCAATCCCCATCAGTCAAAACCAGAAATTAACTAGAGCTTGGGGCAAATTGCCACTGAGTGAGACAGAATGTGGCAATTTCTTCATAGTAAGATGCTTATATGACATTATTCTCATTATCTCATCATTAATCTATTCATTATTCTGATCATTTGCTACGGGCGTGCGGTTATGTTTACTGTTTTGTTTACCAAACATAAAACTCATTGTCATGGATGATTATTTGGTGCCGCGATGAACTTTGCAATAACTGTACTGCACAGTTTCTTATTCTCAAGCAAATTATATTGGCAGCTGTCTGAACAAAACTTAGCATTTGTGTATGCTACTAAGATTATGAACTTTGATCACATTTACATGTGGTGAAGTTTAATCTAAATAATGCCAAAATCACATTTCATTATCAGAGTGGATGTAACCATAGTTGTAAGCAACATAGGCTCATTCTGAAAACGTAGCCCTATATACAATTATGGAGCCAGAAGTATGTAAGACTGCATTTAATTTTTTTAAATGAACACTGTGGGTTGGTATGACGCTGATCCTTTTTGCGCTTACCAGATGACAGCTTACCTCTGTATAAACGGCTTTCCGGCTGTAACCCGTTTGTCCAATTAGCTAACCATGTACGTCGGTGGACTTGGGACGCACAGAGGAGATGACCACAACGACGAGTTCAAGTTTGGCAAAGAACAACTCCAGAAAGCAGGTAAGACAAAAACAGAAGCCAAAAAATAAAATAAACAGGTAAATTACAGGGTGAGAATGTGGTACAAATCAGACGAGGTTTCTTTTTCTGAATTGCTTTTTAAATTTTTCGGTTGTGTTTAGAGAAGTGGGCGAGCGGGTAATTCTGTGCTTTTTAAAATATAATTGGTTGTGTTTAGGGAAGAGGGAGCATGGGTCAGTCGATTGGTCAGTCAAACAGTCAGGCCTCGGGTGGATTTACGAGAGAACAGTAGGCGCAAATGGCACTCGCAAGAAAAATCTGAGATCTCAAAATGTGTACACAGCGGCCTCTTGTGAATTCAGGGAAACAAAAAGTGCAAAAAACCTAGCTCCTGGGACATATCTGATGGTCTCCATGAATGTTTATAGAGGTACATTGTCAGAATGAGCCTGGGTTGGTAATTAGCTATGTTTCCATCCAAAAATGCGATTAAATCTATGTACCAAACTGAAATAACGTATATACTGTAAGAAGTGCGAATAAAGCAGCGTTTCCATACAATGAGTCAAAGAGAACAAAATTGTCATTTCCTGGTTAACTGGCACCAAATATCAAATATAAAAATAGAAATTACAGCAGTAGGAGAAGTTGCGTGAATCTTTTCTTTATTTAATAAACTACTTGCGTCTCAGAAGACATTGCTGACACAATGAATTCCTGGTGGCATTTTAAGGCATGAGATGTGGAGCACAGATAATTTTGACTATTCTGGAGGTCAATAATAATATAATAAAACTAATACTGAAATGTTTAAGGTGTTTTAGAATGACCAAAACAACATTTCAGATGCTTTACAATGTGCTCACTCTGCTGATTTGTCACATTTTTATCGTCACATGATCTTATATACATGATATAAGAAAATCACATTACTTTTTAATGCACATCCTGGAATTTGGTTAATAAAACTGTTTCCATCGTAGTTTATGCGCATCTTTACTTATCGAGTAAAAAGTTTATCCTACTTAGTTATGTGCATACGTTTTTTAATGCACATTTTCACAGGTTATGTGCATTGTGGTGTTTCCATCAACCAATTTTTAAGCACATATCCAAATTGCACATAAAATTAGGTGGATGGAAACATAGTTATTGTTTTAAATGTGAGTGCTGTCAATGTAAATCTTGCATTGTGATGAAAACAGAGGTGCA